TTACTTTCTTGTCCTTTTTGATAGATGAAATGGAAAGGTTGGTGAGTCGGCTTGGCTCATTGTGGACCATAAGTAAGATTTTATCCAATGAAGCCCTACGGTACTATGGGAATGTGCGTCGGTTATAAACATTTATCACTGATTGACTGTATTTGTTGCTACGCGCGCTACTTTCTTTGATCGCGGTACTCACTCGACCGAGCGCTACCTAACCTGTGTGCCTAGTGCGAGTTTTTGTTTTTACGCGTTCGATATCGAGAACGTTAACTACGATTTGTATAGAATAAAATCAGCGCCAACTAGTGGCAATAATCGGAATCACAATTCATTATTAGCTATTTGTTTATGTTTCGGAATTTGATCAAGGTTTCGACAGTTTGTGTTAGTTTTATGAGATTGAGAATTAGCCATTTTATTTTAATGTTAATTATTGAAAGTATTAAATTGAAAGCAAAAAACATGAAGATGTTTTCATTCTAAATGATTTTATGGTGATATTTATGGAGCAGTAAATAGAATTTAGTTACTTAGTGTTAAGTGAACTTATGATACTTACTTATTACTGACTTAATTATTAAATAGTGATGGTAGGAACTTGGATTTATCAAACGCTATTTACACAAAAACTTGAATACTTTCTTAGAAAAGGCGATATCTATCCTTAAATTACCTGTCATTGGGGTGTAACAACGGACTAAAATATGCACAAGCTCTTGCTTCAACACTGGCTTTATAATAGTAGTCATCTATTATTATTAGTTATTAATGCCTTTGTGGCTGCAAACATCCTCCTAACGAAAAAATAACGTCCTGCCTAAATTATATATCGTTCTCACAAAACGAAATAAAATTAACTCTTCATCAATTATTCTCACTCTTCTATCTCACTGTAAAAATTTAGGTGAATACTTTTTCGATAACGACCGCGTAAAGTTTTACGTCTCGAATGATCGAAGTTGCCGCTCCAACCAATCACGTGCGTTAACGTTCTCACTGGCGAATGAGAGTCAATGCTCGATGGTGATTCCAATTATTGCCACTAGTTGGCGCTGATTTTATTCTATACAAATTGTAGTTAACTTTCTCGGTATCGAGTGCGTAAAAACAACAACTCGCACTAGGTACACTGAACTTAGTTACTTAGAACATAAATTATGTTAGAAAGTAAATAAAAATAAATTTGCGATACATATTAAGATATAATATTTATAGGCAAGTATATATCTTTGCGGAGTAATTCTTTTGTAAATATTCTCTGGCTGTGCGAGTGAGTTGTCTTTGTCACCCCTTGGTGCTTGGCAGCCGGGGCGGACCGGGGCGGTCCCTTTACGCCGCCACTGCGTAGTGGTACTGCGGGGCACCTTTTGTTTTCTACCGACTTCAAAAAGGAGACGGTACAATTATACTCAATTCGACTGTATGTTTTTTTTCTTCTGTTTTTATGTGTGTTACCTCATAACTTTTTTCTAGGTGAACCTATTTTCGATGATCCTTTTTTTATTTCAAAGCTGGTGTTTCACATGTCTTCCCATATAAATTTGATCAAGGTCTGACCAATAGTTTATGAGTTATTCTTAATAATTTATATTGAAGGCAGTTGTACAAAATTTTTAATTCTAAATTATATAGTACTTATTTAACTAATTTTAAGTGTCGTTTGCGTAAAATATAATATCTAGAATGGTGAAGTACTGTCATAGTATTATAAATTACTAAGTAAAATTGAATTCAAATGAGGGCCAGGCTTATGTTTTCCTAATTTATTGTTGATTAAAATGTTTATCCGAATGCGAATACATTACATAATTAAATTTAACAATCGAAAACTGAAAACATCTATAAAAAGAAAGTGTCACGAAAATATTTGGCAGTGCAACACATCTAAATGTGTTTTCTTGTAGTAGGTGATAAAAATGATCTGGTTCAATAAATGTTTTGTACTTATAAGTAAGTACATAATGTTAATAAATGATAATTATTATTATAATATCCATAATCATTTTATTTCCATTTTCGTAACAACCCTTAGCATACACGCTAGCAGCGTAAATACTCATGCGGGCGGCGGCATCGCCGTACATCAAAGGCGTTTCACAACTTTAAGATCTTAAAACTGTGATATTGGTGAAATGAAAAATGCGTTGTTGTTTCCCGCAAACCATTTTGCTCCCAAACTACGATTGTAAGTACGGAGGGTAAAATCTTGGTTATACTTGGGGCCAAAAGAAGCGGCATGTTGTGCAACATGTCGCTCAACAACTAAGTACGTGGAATATCCCGAAAAAAAATTTTTTTTATAGGATATGGGTGACGAGCGAGCACACAGTCCACCTGATAGTAAATGGTTGTTGTGGCCCATAGAGATCTACATCTATCCTCGATTACGAATCAATATGCAGATGCGTTGTCACCCATGAGGACTAAGATGGAGTGCCTCATTTCCAGTAAAGAGGGTCTCCGGTTCTCTACACTCACCATACGAAAAACAGCAACCTTAAGCTGCTGCATTTTACGCTGGTATTCTGTGAGAGCGTGGTCATATATATACACATACGTCGCGGAACATTTTTCAGGCCACACTAGTCAGTGCTTACAGAAATGTCATCCAACGATGTTGTGGCGATTAGTGCTGCGTACATAGTACTTATTTCGGGAGTGAAACATAAGCGTAAGAGAAGGTGATGGATGCGGAATTTCTTACTACAACGAGAAGAAAGAAGAATAAATATTTTAAGTGATCTGCGAATGTATGACTGATCTTTTGTGAATTTTACTCGAATGTCAACTGATTTTGAAACCTTATTACAAATGATCCAAAGGCCAAGAAAAAATAAAATAGTTAAACTATAAATTAATTTTCTTGTTGTTATTAGGTTCTCAAATTAATGCGGAAGGGGATGATGTATATGCGCACAGGTACCTCAGCATAATGTTACAGTAATAAATCATTTCGATAGCAGTACGATCGTTTGATTTCAATCGCATACACTACAAATTCACGATTTATGACTTACGTACCGATTCTTATCAAATTAGAGGCTTTTAGATCATCTACCGTTTATTTTACGTAAAACTGTCGTCTTGAGTATCGTGTCAACCAATTTGTTCGATAATATAACCTAGAGAATAAAGTAGATGACGGGTTAAAATGTAATACATTCAAATTAGGCTCTTTTAATTTTTTTATAAAATTTTACAATTGTTCATTCATTTGCTATAAAATTTAACAATAATTGTAATTGTCTAGTTATCATTATTGAAAATACCTTTTAAAGTGTTAATATTATTTTATTTTAACATATCGAAAATTATATTTTAACTTATAGGAGTTACGCCAATTTAATCTGTGACACTGCAAAACTAAAGATTAAACTTTAAGTCCCCCAAAGTGGGGAGACAATACAAGAAAAATAAAGAAAACTAAACTAAATATAGTGTATATAATATGTTAAATAACTTAATAAGCAAACTTACCAAAAATCGGTCCGAAACTATCGAAAACTTATTAATCATTTCGTGAATAAAACGCCTTAGTTTTAAGCAATTAATCACGCGCGACCTTGAATCACTCCCGAGAGTACAAGTATCAGTGGGGTTAAGTTAATAACAGAGAATTCAGAGAAGGAATTATTAAAGCTATTTAACATTTTATAAAAATTAAAAATATTTGATTATCAAACAAATAAAATAATTATATCATGATTTTTAGTTATATTTATTTCATCATCTTTGTTACACAACCCTAGCGCGTTCGCTCGATGACGCACCCATACCACAGAATAAATAATAGTACTACGTACCCATACCAGGCCTGTCTCACTCAGCGCTTTATGTCAGGTTTACATTTTGAGAAGTGACAAGTGTGAATGCCAAGTGCAAATGACAGATGACAAGTGTTTAGTGCGTATTCTATTCACATTTATCACTTGTTACTGCCTGTTCACACGCACTAAGCACTTGTCATTTGTCAGTTGCACTTACCACTCGCACTTGACACTTCTCAAAATGTACACCGGGCCTTAAGCATGAAAATATGCCTACGCTGCGCGGCCCCATACAAGGGGCTTATTCCGTGAGGTTAACACGCGCGTGCTCGAGCTGACGCACGCCTTACGTTAACAATAATTTAAAATTAAAAATTTTGTACAGCCGACTTCAATATAAGTTATTAAGAATAACTCAATAACTATTGGTCAGACCTTGATAACGAGACAAGAGAAGTATCAGCTTTCAAATAAAAAAGAATCGTCGAAATCGGTTCACCCAGTAAAAAGTTATGAGGTAACACACATAAAAAAACATACAGTCGAATTGAGTACCGTCTTCTTTTTGGAAGTCGGCAGAAAAAGGAATGTTGACTTTTTATTTTTTACTGTTCCTAAGGATACCGAAAGGTAACATTATTATTTATAGGTAAATAGTAAAAGATAATTAGGTACTTAGTTACTGGCGCCATAGTTACAGATTTATTATTTGATTAGCGACCAGACCACAGAGCTTCGTAGTTTTCGATTTTTTCACGTATAATGCCAATGACCTTAAAAATCGTTGAGTGTTAGTAGACCTCCCAGCACTAGTGACTGCCTACTAATGCAAGATTAGCATATTATACTGGATATTAGCTTTACACTTGGTCGATAAAAGAAAGAGATTGAAAATAGCAGCACTTCTCATTGTCACTTTTTCATTGATAATGCCGTCGCGTGTCTCATGTTTGTAAATAGCAAAAAATGTGACGTGTGAAAAAGTGACGGCTCCGTGAAGCAGTGGCTTAGTAATGAGTTACAGCGCTAAGGGCCGCGGGTTCGAATCCCGCACGGAACAAGTATTTGTATGGCCTACAAATAATTGTCCTGGGTCTGGATGTTTGTCCTTGTGAAATCTATGTATGCAAACTGCCCCCGCGATACAGGAGAAATCCTAGTGTGGAGGTAATGTTTTTCTTTAAAAAGAGAGGAAGAGAGACAAGTAATGAAATAAAAAATTTTGTACAACCGACTTCAATATTAATAAGCATTATTAAGGACAACTCCATAACTACCGGTCAAATTTATATGGGATATATAAATTATAAGCACCAGCTTTCAAAAAAAAAGAATCATCAAAATCGGTTAACCTAGAAAAATTTCTGAGGAAACACACATAAAAAAACTTTTTTTGAAATAGCTTAAAAATGGTCAGTAAATTATCTGAGTTTCAAAGACATTCATGTTGTTATAATCTTAATTTTTCTGTATGTTGCATATTAATCTTCCTCTCATTTAACAATAATGTTCGTTTTAGCAAATTACTAATACATTGCACACTTCAGTGTATTCTACTATTAACTAATATCAAAGGATTCAATTTGTTTTCTCACAACACCTATCCCTACAGTAGGAGCGGCCTTGACAAAGGCGCCTAACGGACTAAGTGATACAGACTCTTGCACACGGACGTAAAGTGCATTTTGATTCAATACGCGCGACGCAATAATTTTTTTCGACTATTTAATCTATATATTTTAACCAAGGTCATATCCGAGGCGTGTAAAGTATTATGAACATTAGCGACGTTGTAACTAGGTTTAAACTTGCAAGTTTACTATCAGAGAGTGATCCTTCTGTTCTTGTACTATTATTTATTCTGTGCCCATACGTAGGTAGCATGGTGGATAAAGCGTCCTCAACTCGCAGTACGTGTGTAGAAGGTATATTTCTGCTTGCAGCTAACGTCTGGGATTATTATTAAAGATTAGGTAATAGGTGTTTTCGCTTTTGTAAGGGAAACATAGAGATGTATCTGTTACCTTTTACGTAGTGACATTATTTAATGTGGGAGCGAGACGACTAGTATTGAAATTTTGTCAATCCGCTAGCCTAGCGTGACGATTATAAGAGATTCTCCGTACAAAGGAAGAGACTCATGTCCAGGAGTGTAGTATTATGGGCTGATGCATAAGAATTTAAATAGCAATAGCAATAGAAGCATCAATGAACTTCAACTAAAATCGCATCGCAAAATGCATCGTCAAATAATGACCGATACTTTGTTTTAATACTTAGGTATATAATTTACAAAAAAAAAAACTTTTAAATTAGTTTAAATCCTTGTCCTCGGAGGTCACAACGCACTTTTTGTTTTTTTTTTTGTTTCAAGTTGACTAAAGGCTAATTTCATATTCAATTTTAGTTTCATTATAGTCAAAAATATCCATGAACTGCAGTAGCCGCTAATCATCGGGTGGATTTTAAGATCGTTTCTTTCTCTAATAATAAAATATCTAACAAAAATAATAGTGAAAGAAACTGCCGTTAAGGGCTGTGTAGACGTTGTTGAATGATAGTGTTGAGAACACGACATTGTCATTCCGGGGTGCTGAAATTAATGCGTTAACGTTTTCCTGAAGATGATGCTCTAAAATAGAGCCCTAAACCAATTTTGTCATTAAATTTCCGTCAACTTAACCAGAAACAACAAAATAGTGAGCACTGCTTCCATTTTTAATACGTTAGTAAAAACCACAGACTAATATGATGCTTCGCATGTAATTAAACTTTGCCACTCACGTTAAATTAGCTTGCTACATATTTATTTATCTATGCGTTAAATAAAAAAGGCAATAGATAGTAAACAAGGAAAGCATTACTTGTTAGCAAATAATCATTTATTATACTTAATGGAAGACTTTTTTGAGGCATACAAGATCATTATAGCAGTACAGACCAAAATTATAACACAGTAAAATACTTTTAAATATCATTTGTTATAGGTTGATACATAATCTTAAATCTTTGACCATGCTCATACAAAGCGTTCTTAGACGATTTCAATTACTATCATATTGTCTTGAAATTACTTCACGGCTAAATTGTGCTTTTGTTGCGTATTATCTAAAAATACAGTACTTCGGATAAATACGTAAATGCTAGTAATACTGTGAAGTCTCGTATATGCAATGCAATATTGCGATTTCACGCATTTAAAATTCTTTAAAAATGTTCCTCAAAGTATCCAAATATATTTCAGCGTGTTTCTTTTCGAATATCAAAGCCGGTCGAATGCGGATCGTTTTCTCACCGCACACTCCGCTGAGCACACCTGAAATGTAATTAATAATAATAATAATTAGTTTATTACATTAAAATAATACCTATACAGATCGTGGTATATCATGGGCGATATAAATTTTACAGTATAAGAGCATCCCTGGTGCAAACTCTGCCAGCACCGAAGACATTATGAATTGCAATTTTAAGTGTTGATTTTACAACGTTCTCGGCGCTTAAGCATGAGGGTCGGGATGAAATCTAAATGTTCAAGGAATAAAATATTTCGAGGACATGTGAAAACTATGTAAAGTATTGGATGGTAGGACTCCTCTTCTACCTACGATTCCGTCTGGGATATAAGATGGTGGCTCTTACATATTTCTTGCACCGTTGTTTCGGTATGAATAGAATAGAGCGCCAGTATAATTACAACCTGTAAAGCATCCTTCTCAGTCCTCAGAGGTGACACCACATCTGTAGCCTTCATTAAAATTGGTTACAGGTGTCCATGGACTGCAGAAGCCACTTACCATCAGGTGGAATCTAAACTCTGACTAAGTTGTTTTTCAACACCAGTTTCATAAGAGAAAAAAACATGCGTGACTGTCGTGGAAAACTCGGTTGGAACGAAGTTCCTTTAGTAGTATAGTATTATTGATAAACGTGTTATATTATTGATTAGCAAATACAAATAAATGACTTATTAGCGTCTATTAAAATGAACCGTCATTTAAAATAAAATAATATTTCTTTCATGGATGGATATTATTCCATCTCGCTCCCTTATCCAAGGCCGTCTACACTATGTCAGAAAGGGTCGAGAGGGAAAAAAATCTTAAATTTTTTCTCGTCTAGCCCCAATCCGCCAAATTCGTACCGTCCGATAAGGAACTTCGTTCCGAAAATCGCCATCACGTACTGGTGCAATGCGGCGAATTAATTGGTCCATAACCTTCATAGGTATATTAGGCTGTAACTTTTTTCACGTTTACTAGGTATATTCCAACATTTCTAATAAAAATTGTCAAATTTAGAGTATTTTTTCTGTAACTTCAGTAAATTTAAAATTCTAGTAAACTATTATACTATATTATTATAGTATAATACACGTGGTAGAGCCATGCTGCAGCTATATTTCTGGTATAGTTGTAACACGAATGGGTCGGCTCGGCCGGGGTAGGACCACGCTCTCACAGAATACCAGCGTAAAATAGCAACTTAATGCTGCTGTGTTTCGTGTGGTGAGTGTAGAGAATCGGAGACCCTTTTTACTGGAAACCGAGGCTGAATCGAAGATGGAAATCTTAATCCTCACGGGTGACAACGCATCTGCATTTTGATTCCTAATCGAGGATAAATGTAGATGTCTATAGGCCACAGCAACCATTTAACATCAGGTACCTACTGTGTGCTCGTTTGTCACCCTTATTCAATAAAAAAACTAGTTTTGTCATTTATTCTATTCAAAATGAAGCATTTCAAAATATGACTGCGAAACACACTAACCGTTTTTCTTTAAAGTATTATTAATCTTGTCCCTAAGCTCAGTTGTAGGTGCGTTGTAAGCTAAAAATGTGCCACGTCCTCGAACACTGTTAATAATATTAGGGTACTCGTTCTCCAACTGGTGAAGACCTTCCTTTAAATACTTTCCGGTTTCTTGAGTCTGACAAATTAGATTATCATTTTTAATGACTGTTAGCACTTGCTTCAAAAGGATTAATTTTCCCGGATCTCCCATCCAAGTGTTGAAAACTCTATAGGGGTGTAATGGCCTGTAAATAATTGTAATATCTTCACTGACTAAAAAAAAATACACAGGCAATTTAATTTTATATATTTAAATGGCATCTACACAAACAAACTACAAAGTGAACTCTCTCGTTCTTGCAAATAATAATAAAGAAATTGTGTGCCTATCATTTTTATTAGTTTTGCGAATAGATATGAGACTTTAAGGGTAGAATAAATAAAATTAAATTTCGTCGGATTAAGGTTTAATAGATTATTATCTTTTTTTTTTATAGAAGAGGGGGCAAACGAGCATGCGGCTCACCTGATGGTAAGTGACTACCGCCGCCCATGAACAACTGCAACACCAGGGGAATCGCAGATGCGTTGCCGGCCTTTTAAAAAGGAGTACGCTCTTTTCTTGAAGGTCCCTAAGTCGTATCGGTCCGGAAAAATCGCTGATGGTAATCGATTCCACAAGGAGGTCGTGCGAGGAAGAAAACATCTTCTAAATCGCACAGTGGTGGACCGCCAATCATCCAGATGGTGTGGATGGTATCGGGAGTTCTGCCGCGATGTGCGTTCGTGAAATTTGGCGGCTGGGATTAATCCGAACAATTCCTCAGAGCACTCCCCATGGTAGATGCGAAAGAAAATGCAGAGGGATGCAACATCTCTTCGCAGTGCCAATGAATCGAGCCGATCGGAAAGGGCTCGGTCGTCGACAATTCGAGCCGCTCTGCGTTGGATGCGGTCAAGTGGAAGGAGCTGGCACTGGGGAGCCCCTGCCCAGAGATGGGAACAGTATTCCATGTGAGGCCGAACTTGCGCCTTGTAAAGTAGCAGGCGGTGTGCCGGCATGAAATACTGTCCCGCTCTGCTGAGCACGCCAAGCTTTTTAGAGGCCAATTTGGCTTTCCCTTCCAAGTGACCACGAAACTGCACGTCACTCGATATGTCGACTCCGAGGATACCGATACTGGCTGAGGCAAGAAGGGGAGTGCCTTGAAACTGAGGAGATACGACAAAGGGGTTCTTTTTAGCAGTAAACGCGCAAACTTGTGTCTTCTGAGGATTAAATTGGACTAGATTTAGTCGCCCCCAATCCGAGACTTTGTTCAGCAAAGACTCGACTTCAGACACAAGTTTGTTCCGGTACTCAGCGACGTTTTCCCGAGAAATATTGGCACGGCCGGTGTATAGAGCATCACCAGTGCTGTCATCCGCATAGCAATGAATGTTACCAGTTAGCAACATATCATTGATATGCAGAAGAAACAGCGTTGGTGATAGCACACAGCCTTGTGGAACACCAGCGTTAATAGGCTTGTAGTCAGAGCATGCACCGTCTACAACGACCTTGATGCTCCGATCTGCAAGGAATCTGGTGATCCAATTGCACAATTTCTCGGGAAGCCCATAGGAAGGGAGCTTCGAAAGAAGCGCTTTGTGCCAAACCCGATCGAAGGCCTTCGCAATGTCCAGACTAACGGCCAACGCCTCCCCCTTGGACTCTACTGTCTCCGCCCATCTATGGGTCAGGTAGACCAGAAGATCACCAGCTGATCGACCCCGACGAAAACCGTATTGGCGGTCACTAATCAGCTGGTGATCCTCAAGGTACCGGATGAGCTGGCAGTTAATAATGGATTCCATTATTTTGGAGAACAAGGAGGTGATCGCGATAGGCCTATAGTTGGATGGGTCTGAGCGGTCGCCTTTTTTAGGGATCGGGTGGACAAAAGCTGTCTTCCATGAATTCGGAACTACGCCTTGGGAGTAGGAGTACCGGAAAAGACGCGTTAGCACCGGTGCCAACTCCGGAGCACACGTCCTCAGCACAATTGGGGGGATTCCGTCAGGCCCACTCGACTTCTGGATGTCCAGGGAGAGCAGTGCTTTGCGAACCGAGCGCTGTGAGAACAGCACATCCGGCATGGAGCACTCACACCGCGGGATGGTCGGCGGTGTTTTCCCCCCGTCATCAAGAGTCGAGTTGGACGCAAAAAGGGAGCCTAAAAGGTCGGCTTTGTCTTTTGCGTCATGGGCCAGTGAGTCATCCTCCCTGTGCAGAGATGGTAGTGATGGCTTACAGAAATTCCCTTGGACAGCCTTGGCGAGAGACCAGATATCTTTTTTATTATCTTTTTTTTTAAAGATAGATACAATAAAACGCTTTACTGCTTATTATGCGCATATATTTCGATGGCAATTGACCACTAGTTTTAATATTCCAACATGACAATGGTTCGAAGCGGCATAATCAGCGTTAAAGCATTTCTGAAAGGCTATTGGTGTAAGAGTTAGTGTCTTTGTGGCCTGCAAATTGTCTGGATCTAAATCCAATCGAAAATGTGTGTGTCTTTCAAGGCAGAATCCTCCTGGAAGATATCCTGTATTTAATGAAGAAATGATGACAGTTAGTGATAAATAAAATTTGTGACTTAATACCGTTACAGTTCTTCAAAGTCAACTACATAGGCCTCCCACATAGATTATCTCATAGGGGGGATATTTTCCATAGTTGCCACACTTGGCAGGCGGGTTGGCAACCACAGATTTTTTTTATTTGTTAGTTGTTATAACGCAAACGCTGCTACCCATCTCCTGGTTTGTTTCTCTCTGTTGCCTGTTACGGCGATATGGGGTAGTGGATATACTTATACCGCCTATACACGAAATATACTTTAGGAGATATAATCCTTCACCAATTAGTCACTAAATCTTGAAATAGGAATCGCATTTCTGACCCAGTCAATACTGGAATTATCTTGGAAGCTTGAATTCAAGCTAGAGTCAACTCAAAAAAGGGCGATAATCTGTACAAATATACAGGTTTCTTTTGCATTATCCGGCAGAGAAGGCTCAGAACAAATAATATAGACAAATAGGTGAAGAAAAATTAATTTAAAAAAATCGCAAATATTCTGTCCTTTTTATCTTTTAACTTCAAAATGCTTAGTATGCATTATTTTAACTGATTTTACTGCGCACGCACACATTCATAAGGGTCGATCGGTAGGCAAAAACGTTGTTGCCCATAAGTCACATTCAATTTGGGATAATTTGAAATAAAAGTAGAAGCCTTATTAAAAATAAATATCTCTAACATCAATTAACTTCATACCACATCATACAATATTCCTCTGGAAATATGTGAAAATTTATGAGAATCAATAGCACGACGTTGAGCTGTAATAAACGGCTGAGGCTTCCCAAACAAATATTAAGTTTTTTTTTTTATTTACATGTTTGTACCATTAAACTACATCATTAGTTATTTCGTTAACTGTTCATATTTATGCTAATATTCTTTTGCTGTTACTTTTTAGTTGTTCACCTTAGGACTTTGTCTTCTTACGTTTTATTTTATAAAATATACTTCTTTTTAAATAAACGGTTATATGTTAATTACTAAAACTGACATAGTACTTCATAATGTGGATATCATAGATAAATAGTTTATACATTTGCCCTCTAAAATACGTAACATTTATTTTCAAATTAATTTGTACTAAAAAGTCATACTTAGCGTTTCTAACTATATTATGTCCACAACTGTAGGTATTTCTAAGAACGGCATACCTAAATGATAAAATAGGTATCTACTTAAAAGTACCCACATTTTTAATTAAATTCTAATATTTCCCAATGCTAGGCTAAGAAACATTCAGTTTTCTACGCTGTCCCTTTCTATGCGAAATACACATGCGAGCAGTTACTTAGGTCATAATTATACTTACTTGAATTCTTCGCTAAAATAGAAGCCGCCTGTTAACATTTTCTTACTGAAAGTAACGATATCAGGGGGTGAAGGTAAGTTAAAGTGCTCGTGACACCACATCTTGCCGGTCGGCCCGCAGCCTGTCTGTACCTCGTCAATAATGAGGGCAATGCCATTCTACAATATAATGATCAATATTATTAATACAATCACGCATACAATATGTCCATAATGTTCCCTCGATATATTTGGTATGTTGTTGTTGTTGCAACTAGAATCGCCAGCCCTGCTATATAATATACCTTTCCTAATATACCTATTAGGAAATTAAAAAAAAAATATAGTAGGCGAAGCTACCATATTTTAATATGGGGTGATGCTGTTAAAATATTCTTTAGAAATAATTTAAAACATTGTCATCATTATCACAGTTCTTCACAAGTCCATTTCTGAACATAGGCCTCCTACAACGAATACCACAAAACACGGTTTTCAGTAACTTACTACAACGATTTTCTTCTTTTTTTATCAGGTCGACACTCCATATATTCAATTATACTATGTTTTCTTTATTTTTTCAACGTTACCATATTTTTACAGAATAAACTCTCGAAAATACAAAGTTGAAACAAAAATGTAAGCAACTCGCGTTGCAAAAGGGACGTTGTCATAATTTATGTAGTTACGCAAACATGCAATAATTTCAATTTGAATTTAAACGTAATTTGTTTAATGTAATAATTTCTCGCACGGAGAACCCATTATCCAATTTGGTTCTGTGTCATAAAAGGCGACTTCCAATCCTCTCGCCAAGCGTGGAGTATAAGGCAAAACCGCCAACAACGGGAAAAGTTTATGTCCAGCATTAAATTTCTAAGGAGCGTATATCAAAAATACGTCAACTTCGTTAATAATATCACATACATACGTGGTAAGAGTCATGCTGCAGCTATATTAATAGTATAGTTGTAGCACGAATGGGTCGGCTCGACCGGGGAAGGACCACGTCACAAAATACCAGCGTAAAATAGCTACTTAACGCTGCTGTGTTTCGTATGGTGAGTTTAGAGAACCGGAGACCGCTTTTATTGGAAACGAGGTATTCCATCTTAGTCCTAACGGGTGACAATGCATCTGCATTTTGATTCACTGTCGAGGATAGATGTAGATGTCTATGGGCCACAGAAACCACTTACCATCAGGTGGACTGCGTGCTCGTTTGTTATGTTATGCCCCTATCCTTTAAAAAAACATCTTAAAAAGAAAATGGTAATTATTGCCTTTGGTTTTCTTACTTGCCTGTTTTTTGCAACATGAGTAATGAGACAATCGACACAACAGAAGATAATATTAAACTATAGTTATAGTAAATAGTTAAAATATTTACTTTTTTGCATATTTTCTGAAGGTTTTTAAAAAAATCTGGAGAGGCTTCATTATCCCCACCCTCTGCTTGTATTGGTTCTACGATCATTCCTGCTACAGGAATACCCTTTTTGTGGTACTTTTGAATAACTTCCTCCACTTGCTCCAGGCATCTAAAAATTTCAATTTATAGTTACTACATTTTATGTAATATTTTGCAATATGCACAGTTTTCTTTTAGTCTTGGAAATACTGGACAAGAGGTGTCGTAGTGTTTCAAAGTCAATAGACTTGGAATTGCCTGTATATTTTTATCAGTTGGTCAAAGTTAGACCTTTTTTGGTTGGTTGGGTGTCAGTGCAAGTTATGTTGCTGCACCCCATACTATTAAAGAGCAATAGATGCCATTGCGCGCACTTGCGCTTGCTCATTGCACCGTAAAAACTGAACGCAACAGCTATTGTTACCGTTGTGGTCAACCCTAAAAAAACTCGGACCGCACAAGCCGCAAGTGAGTAGACAATGGTGATTATTAATTAGAATGGGCTAATCGTCACACCTATGCAGTTTTGGAACACTACTTTCGAAGTTGTTTGTTGACAAGTAATAACAAAGTGTCCGACAATACGTAAGTCCAACAACGACCGAAATGTCAATTAACTGGGACTGGGAGATTTCGGGCGATCACGGCACATCTTTTCGTTACGCATCGCTTTAAAATCTATAAATACGCGCGCGCTCGTGCTGATGCGGGCCTTACGTTAACAAACAAGTATTTTTCTCTTATAAGTATTTACACACTTTTGATATTTATTTTTAAATTTTTATTAAGTACTAGTAAGCTATGCCCGCATGCTATGCAGTACTTGTACTGCATAGCATGCGGGTGCTTAAATAACAATAGGAATGTCGACTTTTCATTCTTTACTGTTCCTAAGGATACCGAAAGGTTCCTAAGGATACCGAAAGGTGTTATTTATAGGTAGATCTAGATAACTAGATACTTAGTTACTGACGCCACAGTTACAGATTTATTATTTGATTAGCCACCCGACCACAGCTTCGCAGTTTTCGATTTTTTCGCGTATAATGCCAATGACCTTAAAAAGCGTTCAGTGTAAATAGACCTCCCAGTATAAGTGACTGCCAACTAATGCAAGATCATCATATACTGGTAAATGTTTAACACTTGGTCGATAAAAGGAAGAGATTGAAAATAGCAGCACTTCTCATTGTCACTCTTTCATTAATAATACCGATGCGTGTCGCATGTTAGTAAATAGTAAAAATGTGAAACAGACAAGTGACGGCTCCGTGGCGCAGTGGCTTGGTAATGAGTTGCAGCGCTAAGCGCCGCGGGTTCGAATCCCGCACGGAACAATTATTTGTAGGCTGCAAATAATTGTTCCGGGTCTAGATATTTGTCTTTGTGCAATTTCTGTTTGTTAACTGCCTACGCGATACAGGAGAGAATACTAGTGGGAGTAACGTTTTTTACAAAATAAAAAAAAATACTAATACATTGCATAACACCTCGGTGTATTCTCCTATATACCAACTAATAACAAAGGATTCAATTTGTTTTCTTACAACACCTAACCGTACAGTAGGGGCGGCCTTAACAAAGGCGCGTAACAGGCTAAGTGATACAGACTCTCGCACATGGACGTAAGGTGCATTTTGATTTAATATGCGCGACGCATTAATTTTTTCGACGATTTAATCAATAGGCTATTTTAACCAAGGTCATATCCGAGGCGTGCAAAGTATTATTATGTACATTAGCGACGTTGTAACTAGGTTTAAACTTGTAAGTTTGCTATCAGAGAGTGATCCTTCTGTTCATGTACTATTATTTATTCTGTGCTCAGACGAACCCAGCGCGGGACCCTAGTTTGAATATAAGACTGAGATCTATTATGAAGAATAGACCAGTGATGTGACTGACACATAGGTATTGTTAACATATTGTAAATATAATAATATTCTAAATATTTTTATCATATATTAGGTATATGCAAAAGATTATTTATTTTATGTAATTTATAAAATTATTATTTTTTAACGGTGGTAGAGCCACGCAGCAGTTTTTGTTGCATGTATGGGCCGGCTCGAGCCGGGTTGGTACCACGACCTCACAGAATACCGGCGTGAAGTAGAAGCTTTGCTTCTGCGTTTCGTCTGGTGAGTGCAGGTGGCCGGAGGCCCAATTCCCCCCCCCCCCCCCCCATCAACATGGTAGCGGAATTACACGAAGAACTACCCCAGGAGGGTACCAGCACCCCTGGAGAATCCCTCGCTGAGCATCCACGACCATGTTATTCCGATCCTGAGCGTGGGTGCTCAGGCTGCCCCGCGTATTCTGGGGGGGGCAAAATTCCGCTCAAAAGCATTACTGCTAGGGGCAAACTGAGCAAGAACACCAAGGCGACCCCTGCCACGCTATCCGTGAATTTCTGCAACATCAGGGGACTTCACTCTAACCTAAACGCCGTCCACTACCATCTCGAGACGGCGAAGCCGGCCTTGCTCTTTCTGACCGAGACGCAGGTTTCCTCTCCGGCTGATATTTCGTATCTCTCCTACCCGGGGTACAAATTGGAGCATTCCTTTGTGCCTCGGGCTGGAGTTTGCGTGTATGTCAGAGAGGACATCTGTTCTCGACGCCTCGGCAGTCTTGAAGGTTCGGACCTGTCCATCCTTTGGCTACGCGTAGACAGCGACGACCATCCGCGCGTCTACGGGTGCCTCTATAGGTCCCATAGCGGTAATGCCGAAACAGACCGACTCATCGACCACGTCCAAATGGCTACAGATTTCTTGCTACAACAGGTCCCATCCGCAGAGATCGTGATCCTTGGCGATTTTAACGCCCACCATGCCGAATGGCTCGGTTCACGTCTAACCGATCATGCGGGGAGATCTGTTTATGACTTTGCCTTGGCATATGGTCTGACACAACTGGTTACTTCGCCTACGCGGATTCCAGATGTGGAGGATCATACACCTTCCCTGTTGGACCTTCTGCTGACCTCTCATCCGGATGGATATCTGGTTTCCGTCGATGCCCCTCTCGGCTCTTCGGACCATTGTCTGATCCGGAGTGTGGTGCCACTCACGCTCCTTTCGCGGTTGCGTTCTGCAGGTTGCCGCCGTGTTTGGCATTACAGGTCGGCGGATTGGGACGGAATGCGGACCTTCTTTGCATCCTACCCATGGGGGCGGGTTTGCTTCTCGCCGGATGATCCCAGCGCTGTTGCTGACTCTGTCACTGATGTGGTGCTACAGGGAATGGAACTATTTATTCCATCATCTGTGGTACCCATCGGAGGCAGATCTCAGCCTTGGTTTGGTCGCTCCTGTAAGACTGCATTACGCAGTAAGCAGGAGTGTTATCAAGCCTGGGCTGCGGCTTCGGCGACTCGGGATGTAAATACCAGCACACTTAAAAAGAAGTATAACTTCGCCTCCAGGTCCTTCAAAAGAGTTATTGCCAAGGCAAAGTCAGAGCACATAGGCAGAATTGGCGAGAAACTAGTTCGCCTTCCTTCGGGAACCCGTGCATTCTGGTCTCTCGCCAAGGCTGTCCAAGGGAATTTCTGTAAGCCATCACTACCATCTCTGCACAGGGAGGATGACTCACTGGCCCATGACGCAAAAGACAAAGCCGACCTTTTAGGCTCCCTTTTTGCGTCCAACTCGACTCTTGATGACGGGGGGAAAACACCGCCGACCATCCCGCGGTGTGAGTGCTCCATGCCGGATGTGCTGTTCTCACAGCGCTCGGTTCGCAAAGCACTGCTCTCCCTGGACATCCAGAAGTCGAGTGGGCCTGACGGAATCCCCCCAATTGTGCTGAGGACGTGTGCTCCGGAGTTGGCACCGGTCCTAACGCGTCTTTTCCGGTACTCCTACTCCCAAGGCGTAGTCCCGAATTCATGGAAGACAGCTTTTGTCCATCCGATCCCTAAAAAAGGCGACCGCTCAGACCCATCCAACTATAGGCCTATCGCGATCACCTCCTTGTTCTCCAAAATAATGGAATCCATTATTAACTGCCAGCTCATCCGGTACCTTGAGGATCACCAGCTGATTAGTGACCGCCAATACGGTTTTCGTCGGGGTCGATCAGCTGGTGATCTTCTGGTCTACCTGACCCATAGATGGGCGGAGGCAGTAGAGTCCAAGGGGGAGGCGTTGGCCGTTAGTCTGGACATTGCGAAGGCCTTCGATCGGGTTTGGCACAAAGCGCTTCTTTCAAAGCTCCCTTCCTATGGGCTTCCCGAGAAATTGTGCAATTGGATCACCAGCTTCCTTGTAGATCGGAGCATCAAGGTCGTTGTATGCGGTGCATGCTCTGACTACAAGCCTATTAACGCTGGTGTTCCACAAGGCTGTGTGCTATCACCAACGCTGTTTCTTTTGCATATCAATGATATGTTGCTAACTGGTAACATTCATTGCTATGCGGGTGACAGCACTGGTGATGCTCTATACACCGGCCGTGCCAATATTTCTCGGGAAAACGTCGCTGAGTACCGGAACAAACTTGTGTCTGAAGTCGAGTCTTTGCTGAACAAAGTCTCGGATTGGGGGCGACTAAATCTAGTCCAATTTAATCCTCAGAAGACACAAGTTTGCGCGTTTACCGCTAAAAAGAACCCCTTTGTCGTATCTCCTCAGTTTCAAGGCACTCCCCTTCTTGCCTCAGCCAGTATCGGTATCCTCGGAGTCGACATATCGAGTGACGTGCAGTTTCGTGGTCACTTGGAAGGGAAGGCCAAATTGGCCTCTAAAAAGCTTGGCGTGCTCAGCAGAGCGGGACAGTATTTCATGCCGGCACACCGCCTGCTACTTTACAAGGCGCAAGTTCGGCCTCACATGGAATACTGTTCCCATCTCTGGGCAGGGGCTCCCCAGTGCCAGCTCCTTCCACTTGACCGCATCCAACGCAGAGCGGCTCGAATTGTCGACGACCGAGCCCTTTCCGATCGGCTCGATTCATTGGCACTGCGAAGAGATGTTGCATCCCTTTGCATTTTCTTTCGCATCTACCATGGGGAGTGCTCTGAGGAATTGTTCGGATTAATCCCAGCCGCCAAATTTCACGAACGCACATCGCGGCAGAACTCCCGATACCATCCACACCATCTGGATGATTGGCGGTCCACCACTGTGCGATTTAGAAGATGTTTTCTTCCTCGCACGACTTCCTTGTGGAATCGATTACCATCAGCGATTTTTCCGGACCGATACGACTTAGGGACCTTCAAGAAAAGAGCGTACTCCTTTTTAAAAGGCCGGCAACGCATCTGCGATTCCCCTGGTGTTGCAGTTGTTCATGGGCGGCGGTAGTCACTTACCATCAGGTGAGCCGCATGCTCGTTTGCCCCCTCTCCTATAAAAAAAAAAAAAAATAATACAAATTATGGATTACTTTATTATTATCGATATGAAAATAAGGCCGATATGAAAACAGATGGGACTTGTATGACTTTTAAAATGTTCAAAACTATTATCATTTAAATGTAACTGCAATTACATATTATGTGATATCATATTAATTCAGCACAGCACCTGCAAAATAAATGAGAAAATTATGAAAACTGAACTCGTTACAAGCTAATAACAAGAATTGTTGGTAGAATGAGCAGTAGGTACTCGTATGTCCCTTCTGATGCGAGCTGAGTTAAGGTGAGTAACCTATGTCAGGGATTCCCAAACTATTTTGGACAAGAGACCCCTTTTCCAAAATTAACTGATACCTCAGACCCCCATAGCCAAATTACTCGAACTCATTATCTTGCATGAAGTTGTCCACGCTTATCGACTTATTGAGTTTTTTAAAAGTACGACAATGATACTTCCTACTAAATATTCGTCATTCCTATAACAAGTTGGTACACGTAACACAACTTATACAGTATGTTGAAAGTTTCAAATAAGAACTTGTGTTAAATAACAAGGGCCGATTTTTACACCTCGTCGACCCCCAAAGCAGTTTTCGTTTATGTCGACCCCCGGGAAACCGATTTAGACCCCTTCCCTGCTATAGAGCAGACATACGTCTATGATGACAAAAACTAACATTTTGCAATTTTTTTGTTCGAAATAGCTGTTTTAGTACAATGAGCATATTATACTTTAATGTCTTAGACTTTCTTTATTATTTAATACGTTGGATATGTATTATGTACACGGAAGAATTGTTAAAATGTCGAGTTCTTTCTTAATAATGTGCGAGTTTGGCGATAGTACTAGTACAAATTGTGCCCGTGCGACGCAATTAAACGTTTTGGCCCAATCGAACGCGTTGACAAGAGGTGGATTGCTGCTGGCCATTGCCAAAAGCATTGGCGACATCTAGGGACATTTCCCTAGATGTCGCCAATGCTTTTAATAACATGAAATATCAAGTAATATGTTTAATACAATGTTAATATGAGTTGGCCCTAGGCGTGGATCAAGGAGTCATTGAACCACCATAAAGTAAAAGTGATTGCATACCTCAGGATAAAAGTTTGGAACTTCCTTTCTGAGAGATACATCTCTTACCCTGAGCGAGAAAGCGAAGAAGTATATTAAGGACCTGAGGTTGAGGAAGGTCCTGAGACCGCTTCTGTGAATAATTATGTGAATGTCTTCCAATCGGTGGTATAAGCCTATTATGCATAATATGATACACTGGTCTTACCAGTGTATCATATTATGACACAGGTTGTCGCCAGAATACGATTGCTGATACTAAAAGAGGTGTTAGGCAAGTCTGAGGCTATGATATTCAAGGGCATCGAAAAATGCCACCACATGTGTTCCTCGATAACTCGATCCCGCGAACTTCCGCGAGCACATTAGGCGTCGACGACACTTGGATAATGGAATTGGCAGCCGAATTAAAGTGGCTGCCATTGCCATTAGCCGGGAAACCGGAAAGCCTGGGTCCGTTAGCAGCTTGTGAAGTTATCCTCTCTTAAAAGGGGACAGCGAATAAAACTTTACAAGAGATATGTTTAAGGCATATTTAAAAGAAGTTTTAATTACTTTTGATCTTCCTCACAGTTCTCACGTTGGTGCTGATCAAGTGGATATTTGTATCTTGGAAAAGGTGCCACGGGCCAATCGAACGCCGGACAATCCAGCTTATGTATTGCCTTTGACCTTGTAGTGGACAGCGCACCAAAAGTGCGACCGTGAAAACCACCCTGAAATTAAAAAAAGCAATGTTCAGTTTATTTTTTCAGTATCCTCAGAATTTTTACGCCTTTTTTTATATTTTAATAAAATCATTAGTGCTAAATCCAAAAGTTTAGCATGCAAACAAATACTCATTTTCAAACAAAGACGAATCGAAAGAATGTTTACTATTAGACCGGCAATTCAAAACAATAACTGCGTCGCAGCTGTGGATCGCGCGAGCACCGTCTGACGTCTGAGCGGGTAGCTGGCACCGTAAATATGTCACGCAGTTGTATTTTCATTTACAAATACAAAATATAGTTAATACTTATCTATACAAATAAATAAATTTGAAGTGTCTGTTTGTGATGTCAAAATAACAGCTTTTAACTAAGTGCATATGAAAGTATATACGGTACTTATAACAAAAACACAATTTTTAAAAATTTTTGTGTGTCTGTCTGTTTGTTCCGGCTAATCTCCGAAACGGCTTTACCGATTTTTACGGAACTTTCACTGGCAGATAGCTAATGTTATAAGGAGTACCTTAGGCTACTTCTGTTTTAGAAAAGGAATTAGGGTTCCACGCAAAAAAATTTAAACCCATAAAATCCAATAGTAATATACCACGCGTGCGAAGTCGCGGAAGTCGAAACAGCTAGTCTGAAATAAACTTCAAATTACGTCGACAAAGTCCGCACATAAATAATAACATTTCTATCACATAATTCTTAGTGCACTAGCAAACACAAAATGAATTAGTGTTTGCTAGTGCACCAAGGGGTAATTTCTAACTTCCCTTTTTAATTATTTTTCTTTGATAATTTTCTTCATTTATTCCTAGATTGAATTACTATTATGGTAAGTTTAGACATCAGTTTTACTTCAGTCGTTCTGTGGTGTGTGTATGTGGGGTATGTGTTTTATCACGATTACAAATAAGTAATCCACCATCCCGATACCATCCACACCATCTGGATGATTGGCGGTCCACCACTGTGCGATTTATAAGATGTTTTCTTCCTCGCACAACTTCCTTGTGGAATAGTTTACCACCAGCGATTTTTCCGGACCGATACGACTTAGGGACCTTCAAGAAAAGAGCCTACTCCTTCTTGAAAGGCCGGCAACGCATCTGCAATTCCCCTGGTGTTGCGGTTGTTCATGGGCGGCGGTAGTCATTTACCATCAGGTGAGCCGCATGCTCGTTTGCCCCCTCCTATAAAAAAAAAAGTAACTGAAGCAATAAATGACTGCCTCTTTGGTCTAGTGGTCGTAAACGCGGTCGCTGATCATGAGGTCCTGAGTTTGAATCCCGAGTCTAGTACGGCCTAAAATCGGTTATGGCTTTTTCTGTCAAGAAACCGTAGTAGCATCCGGAAGTCTGGAAGTTGGCGGTGTTCTCACCCCCGTACCTCGGAGAGCATGAAAAGCCGTAAGCTTTGCGCCTGATCTCTCTTCGATCGTGTAGGATTACTGTCCCATCGGACTATGAGAGTGAGGGAATAGAGTGCACATACACTTGCTCACTATAATCCTGTCCTGCGCACATGACTACTTTCCGTTGAGACTGGCCACCGTGACCGAAATTAGGTCTGGAGGACATTATTAAACTAAGCTTAGCGATCTAACTCAAAGTTTTCACTTACCCTTTGGATGATCCCGAATGAAATTCATTAATGAAATCTTTACATATTGTTTACATTAGTTATATTTTTTTCCATATGGGTACATTTGTGACGACATTACTTCTCACTTTCTGTTATAATAACTATCCCTTATCTTAAGATGTTTCACGACTTTGCAGGCATGGCGGGCGGCAAAACATTGGAATTTTTTTTACAGATCCTACAGTTTTTACAGATCTATTGCAGTGGAGCTGTGGAGCTGTGTCTAAACAACCGAGCTACATAGCCAACAAAAACAAATGTACTCATAGATCGTGGCCTGATTATAGGCAACTATCAAAAATTAACGAAATCGTCATCGTTTATATCCCTCTGTTTCCTCCTACAATACTGGACCAATTTAATCTTCTTTTTCATTCTCATCATTAAAAGACTTTTATTTTTATTGATTGTTTAATTTGTTTGCTTTATGTTTGATAACGGAGATATAACTGGACAATATGTGTAATTTTTAAAGGTTTCTATTTTTTAAAATAATTGTTTTATAAAAATAAAAAAAATAAACTTATTGAAAATATTCGCTATAATGTCATTATCCAGGGAGAAAACGGAGGAATACGTCTTTGTGTTGACTAAACACAGCCCAGATAATTCTCTAAATCTATATTAACAATTTTTCCTTGATATTTATTTAAAATTACTTATTTGGTGTGGTTTTAGTTTTCAGGTTTGAGATGCGGTGAAACTTTATAAACAAACAAAAGTTATTAGACCATTTTTTGCCTTGAGTGATTTTTTATTTCATTTCTCATCCTAACATTATATGAAATGACCATACCTTAAAAGACAAAATAGATAGACTTGGAGCTCCTGGTGGCTGATTAATCATACAAGACTCCATTTCTTCAGGTGTAAAGTCCATTTTTCCTCCACGATCTTTGTTACGATACCACATGAAAACACTTTTATATGCATTCTCATTAGAACAGGACCCACACATCATTGTTGCTACGCAATTCAAGCCGGAGGGCGCAACTGACATTAACACATTCTTCAACATTTCAGGCCAGCTCAAAGAAGGGAATACTCCCAAGGCCGGCCGATTGACAAGTTCTTTCTAAAACAAAATAATACAGAATCAGCGAGGTATCCACATAAAGTTTTTTCATTCTTAACTCTAGAATTGTATACCTTGGGTTACGGATCAATTTTTTGTGTTTTGAATCAACCTTATTTTTTAATCTACTGCAAGCCCACGGGCCTACTAGCGCGTGGACGTCGTGGCAAGCGTATGGAATACTCTAGTATACCCCAGAATGCGGTTAATGTAAGTTATTTTAATTTTTATTATAATTTGCCTTTGTTTATTGTAACTTAATTTTTTATTTTATTCTGTAAAACTTAACTTCACTTGACGCCAAACGTAGTGCTTCTTTTATAAAAAAAAAAATATTACAACTTTCCCATACAAAACTGTGTAATAGCCATTTGGTACATAACTAAAGCAATAAAGATCTTCGAAAATAATAATAATAGCTTTGTATTCAGTTACCGGTTACTTTAATATTTGTCGTGAAGCGACAATTAAGAACAAAAACAATCTAACCTAAGAGCAACAAAACAACAAAAATACAACAAAAACAAATAATATATTTAAGATTCAAAAATATTTACAGTTTTATATTATAAAAATGGAGTATGAATATGAGGATGGATGATGCGATTTACAGATTATTTAAAAAAAAAGTAATAAAAAAAAAGAGATTAGTGCCGAAGCTGAGTCTGAAGATCCAAGGTGTGCTCTCAGCGCCTGGAACGAGCACGCACGGCGTAGGTGAGAAGACGTGGGCGTCTCTAGGCGACGACCTCCGGTGAATGTGGTAATTGCAGGATCCGGCGATTTCAGGCCAGACAGGGGCTTGCAGGATCCTCAGCGGCTTCAGATAACACAGAAGCCTGCAGGAACCGGTGACTGCAGGCGGGACAGAGGTTTGCAGGTTCCGGTGACTTCAGGCGGAATAGAGGTTTGCAGGTTCCGGCGACTCCAGGTAGAGCAGAGACTTGTAGGATCCCGGCGACTTCAGGCAGAGCAACGGTTTGTAGAGTCCAGCGACTTCAGGTAGAGCAGAGGTTCGTAGAGTCCAGTGGCTTCTGGCAGGACAGAGGCTTGCAGGATCCCGGGGCAGTGCGGCCCCGGGATAAGGCCTTTAGAAGATGCTTCCAATTCGAGAACTGAAGCAAGACTGCCTTTCTTCACCGATTGTTCGGCTTTTATACCTTTCTAGAGAGAACGGAAAAATTATTTAAATTAAACGCAAATTTTTTGTAAATGGTCAAGAGAAAAGAGTATTTATGTGGAATTATCGAAATAGAAACAACAGACCGGTAGTAAATTTGAATATAATTGCTATGGAGACCAAATAAACAACAATGTCAAAACATGTGAAATTTTGGTTTTAGGCTTGTAATAAGAAAACGGCAAGATTTAAGTGGAAAATGAGATATTATTGATATAGGAAAAAAGGTAGCGCAACTGCCCACACAAAGCCCGAGATTGTAGAGTTACTGAAAACTAACTAAAAGATCAAAAAAAGGTAGACTCCATTGACACCAATTTAAAAGTGCTGATAATGTGAAAATACGAAGTAGAAATGATTTGTTATTGTGTTCTTATGGTTTAAAATCGTTACAGGATCCTATGGAAATAAAGATGATGTAAAATATCCAGTTTTGAAGTGAATGCAGAAAATCGAAACAGAATGGAAAAATGAATTTAAAATAATGTAAAATGATATGTAAGTAGCATAACACTACATATTGATCTAAATTTCATCAACATTTTAGCCGATTTAATTACCTATTTAGGAAAATAAACCGTGTGGCGGCGGCGCGCTTTATAAGAGAATTGATCACCCTGCTGCTTATTAAGCTGCATTGTAGCTCGAATGAGTCGGTTCGACCGGGGAAGGACCACGCTCTCACAGGATACCAGCGTAAAATAGCAGCTTAATGCTGCAGTTTCGTATGGTGAGTGTGGAGAACCGGAGACCCCTTTTACTGGAAACTAGACATTCCATCTTAGTTCTCAGGGGTGACAACGCCTCTGCATTTTGCAGTCGAGGATAAATGAAGTTGTCTATAGGCCACAGCATCCACTTACCATCAGGTAGACTGAGTGCTCGTTTGTACCCTTATTCGAGAAAAAAAAACCCTAATTCGACCTGTGGCGTGGGTTTCGTAAGAGGCGACTATGGGGAATGCCAGAAAAATATAATGGCTTCCGATAAGCTTCCGATAGATGATGGCAGTATAACAATTTCGTTTAGGTCAGACGTAAGTTCAGTAAAATATCGAGACCAGCGATGGATAGCAACCTCGAAGTTGCAAAACGTCTACCGCAGTCGACACTACGTGACGTAATAGCAAAATCACATGGGGAGATGCAAATGTCCAGCATCCACTGCTAGACATTTGCCTTTGCATTTTTAAGGGCTGATGAAGAAAAATGAAATACAGGTAAAATTGCCAGTCTAACCCTTTTACTCTAACTTTTTTCGTAATCGACTGCACCCAGTATTTTTTTTTGATATAGTGACAGGGCCAATTTTTGCTGTAAACCTAATCATATTTTTTTTAATGAAAAATGTTTACTTTTGCTATTATTTTTCTATAATATTATTTTATTATATATTATTATGACATATGGAATTATTATTAGTTGTTACTATCAGTCATAAAACTTAAGTATTTTTCTTAATTTAGCATTTTGTGTACTGTTTCAATATTTGATTAGTAGGATTATATCCTTTGCATAATGTTTCGATTCAGATTTTCAAAATGACACCGTTACAACTGCGGATGTTGCCATAACACTCCTCAAAAATAATAACCGGACTAATAAAGACAGTGGAGCTAAAGAATCTGCCAATAAATCACCTGTCTACGCATCAGTTACTGGCAGCGGCTGACCCACGATTTCAGTTCCAGCTGAAAGAAGTAATGGACTTAATTTCAGCTGACGAACAAATTACTAATTAATATGTTCGGCAATAAATCCTCCTCCGTCTAATAAACAAAAATTGTCGATACAAGGGAATCTGTAGATATTTCCCAAAAACCGCAAAATAGCAGTACTATCACATCACCAAAAAAAAAAACTGATACAATTTTTTTTATATAATATATTAATGTTACTAAATACGGTGTTAAAGGGTTATAAATAAGACCTGACGTAAGTTGCACTTTATTCAAATGAGGTTATGGGCTAATATTATTACAACTCCCAACTTGTAATTATTATTATTATTATTGTAATTGATAAAAGTTTTTCACTACACTAACACACGCTTTTCTACACTGGAAGAGAACTTTACAATTATTACGCATTATTCGATAATACTTATCTTCACGCACAATCCCTGACGGGGTAGCCAGAGAGAACAGATCGCCAAGTGTCACGATCTTTACAAACCTCTTTCGCTTCTTTCAGATTCATTATCTTCTTCATGCATGCACGTCTAGGTATCCGAGTACTTTTGACCCTACCCTCTTCGAGCAATTTGCTCACATGGTCTTCGAAAGTTAGTCTTGATATATGTACTATGATTATTCGATAATAATCAAACGATATCACTTTTCGCAAACATACATATACTTATATAATTTACACTACAATACACATTTAATTTTGGCGTTAACATTAAAAAAAGTTTCTTAAAATTAGAACAAATAAAGTAAGAACAGCAGGTTTTCTAAATAATTTTAATTAATTAGTCTCTAGAAATTATGGAGTAGGAAACTATTTATAACATTTTACGTAAACTTATAGATTAAACTGGTATCGTAAATGAGGCAACATTTACATTTCATTGCAGCATTTGAAATAAAAGAAAGGCAATAACACAAAAGGGTATCACAATTTTTCAAAAACCTAATAAATATATTGTACCTTCTAATCTATCAAGTTTATGTACATGTAACCGATAACAGGGAGTTTATCCCACTTCTGATGTCAGAAAATGTAATAAGATGTTAATTTAACAAATAAAAATAGTGTGAGAGTAGATGTTCAACTTGCTGTCTTGCTTACGCAATTAATCTTTATCAGAAATAAAATAAAATGACGCCACAGATTAGATAATAGTTACTACGTAAATGAGGCACGGCGCAGTTATCAAAGATGTTATTTTTACAAATAATAATAGTGAGACAGTAGATGTTCAACTTGTTCTCTTGCTTACGCAATAAACATTATCAGCAATAATGGATGACGCACCGTATCGCAAATACATTTTTTTTCTTTTGTTTTGTTACTGGGAGGCTGTTATCTTTAGAGATATGCAAATTCGACCATACCGTAACGTAAGTAATAAGGGCCGGTCAATTTCAAATGTAGTGTGTCATTGCATAATTTTTTGGTGTTACAAAATGAGTTAAGTTTGCGAATTACCGCCTGCTTATCACAATAATACTTTTCTTTGCTTGTTCCAACGGAACAATCACAAGGACGCAATCACGACAAATATAACCGACAACAAAATCGCCCCGTCCTACTGTTTAGGTCGTCTTGTTTAGTCGAAAAAACTGGGTCGAGGCTACGGTTACTGCCAGTAATGGCTAATTGTCACACGTAAACTACGTACGGTGCGCTGATAAAGAGCTGTTAGTTTCTTCACGCCGTTCACGGTACGGTCCAGTCAGCCAGACAAGACCCTGTTGAATAAATCCCAGCTGGTCTACATGCAAACAGACACATAACCGTCTATATTACCTCCTTTTCTTTTCCTTCTCCATAATTATATATACAGGACAGCAAGATTTTCCGAGTTGCCAGTCCTCCCATTGGACACGTCCCCAGGTGGTGGATATGAGAATGCTATACTACGTTATGCTATATAAGATATATACTTAAAATGTAAAATGCTCGCACCTCTACACGCGCTGTTCACAGCAAGCTGCTGACTAACACCATTAACACGTATTTTAAAATACAAGAAGTGAAAAATAAGAATATTTTTATTACGCCATACACATACACGTGGTAGAGCCATGCTGCAGCTATATTAGTAGTATAGTTGTAGCACGAATGGATCGGCTCGACCGGGGAAGGACCACGCTTTCACAGAATACCAACGTCAAATAGCAGCTTAACACTGCTATGTTTCGTATGGTGAGTGTAGAGAACCGGATACCCTTTTTACTGGAAACGAGGCTGCATCTGCATTTTGATTCGCGAATGAGGACAAATGTAGATGTCTATGGGCCACAGCAACCACATTCCATCAGGTGAACTGTGTGCTCGTTTGTCACCCTATACTATTAAAAAATTTAATCACCTTTCAAAGTGTATATTCACTCAGTGAAAATAATTTATAAGAATTAGTTTTAATTAAAGTACATAGATCTTACCAAATAATGTTCATCCTTAAAGGCTTCCATCAGCTTTGGATGATTGTACCCGATAGGAATGGACGATATTTGCGTAAATGCATCGAGAAACGTGTTTCCATCGGCATCAACGAAGTAATTTCCAATGCACTTGTCATAGTCGGCGAAAAGCTGTACCGAACCTGTTTGCTGAAAACCAAAAAAAAAAATAGAATAATGAGCAAATTTACCGAATATCTTATTTATAGTGATTTATATATACTCAGTATGATTTACTGTAATGGCCACAAAACTGTGATTAAGAGAGAAGCTAATAACTTCATTAAATTCATTTTGAATCAAGTAAGTATTTGAAAAGCGAGTGCACTGTGAGTTCGTATCGTTGGATGACTTATTATAATATATTTATTACTAGGCATAAGTGATCCACAATAGTGTAAAAGCTTCTATTTCAGTTTTTATAAATATTGTTTAAACATATACGAGAGCCGTGTAGCTCGCCGCAAGATTTAATGGCACGGGAGCAAAAGGTGTACGTTTCCCGCGAGGACCAATGAAACTGTTATAAGAGTTTTATGCGCTGAATTATAAACGTGGTTCGGTGGTAAAATGGTGAAGAATAACTTCGTGAGAAAACCTAGACGTCTGAAATAAAAAAATCTTGGACGTATGAAAACCGCAACACGCAGAATTTTTTGATAGACCTTGCGAATCTTGCGAAAAAGTACTATTCCACGTGTAGTGGCGGGTAAGAATACCCACTACCCCATATATTCCCGTGAGTGTCGTAAGAGGCGACACAGGGACACCGAAGCAGAAGATGGGCAGAAGCATCTTTCTGATAACAGCAAAACAGCAATAAAATAACTGCGATTGCCAACCCGCTCGCCAAGCGTAGCAAGTACGACAACGGCAATATACCCCCCATGATTAAAGTTACGAAGAGACGGCCCCCAGTCCCCGGCAGCCCCGCCATTCCTGGCTACGGTGGCGACCATGGTAACGACGGGACAGGGGATGCTAAGAATCTCCGATGGAAGTTCGGTTGCCACCTAAGACGACTCGACCTGGCAACATATAACGCACGCACCCTGAGGACTGAAGAGAAGATCCTGGAGCTGGAAGAAGAGATAAACAAGCTGGAATATTATAGGATTACTTGAGGTCCGAAGAGAGGGGAATGACGTGGTAATCCTGCAACTTGTTCTATCACTGGGAGGGCAACCATCTGTCCCAAGGAGGTGTCGGATTTATCGTCCACAAGTCTCTCATTAACAACGTTGTAAAGATTGAGTGTGTCGACGACGGTGGCGTACTTTATACTTAGAATCACCCAACGGTATTCGCTGAAGGTCATACAGGTTTACGCACCAACCTCGGCACATCCCGACGAGGAGATGGAGGAAATGTATGAGGATATATCTAGAGCCGTGAATTCTTTCAAAACCCACTATACGGTGTTGATGGGAGACTACAACGCAAAACTAGGCTCAAGAGAGAACGGTGAGCTGAAGGTAGGGAAATTTGGAATAGGGTATCGGAACCCAAGGGGTCAGCAGCTGGCCGACTCCTTGGAGAAAGAGGTATTTTTTTATGATTAACTCTTTCTTCCAGAAGCGGCCCCACAGGAAGTAGACTTGGTCGAGCCCCGTCGGTTCGACAAAAAATGAGATTGACTTCATTATGACGACCAGACGACAACAGTTTTGCAAGACCCGCCGCAGAACACAAAAATTCTCCAATCACACTTTTATTCTCATGACTGTTAGACGGGAAATGAAGCTGCAGTCGTCAGTAGATTTGACAGCATACAGGCAACTGAACAGACAGATCTCCAAATGCACGCGGCGGGACTTACGCAACTTTAATATTGCTCGTATTGAAGAAGCGATCGAGCGGAACCAGGGCTCCAAAGTCTTTGCCAGAGATCTGTCTGCCACAAAGAGCCAACTGTCGAAGCTGAAGACCGAGTGTGGCAGCGTCGTTTCCGAGACACTTGAGAATTTGAGTGAGACTGAAAGGTTCTATGGGCAGCTGTACATATCATCGTTGGAGCCACACGCAAGTGTGAGTAACGATCCAAGAGCAAGTCTTATCCGACACTATTCCGATGATATTCCGGACGTCAGTCTAAGCGAGATTAGAATGGCCCTCCAGCACCTTAAAAACGGCAAGGCCCCAGGCGAGGATGGAATTACAGTGGAGCTTCTAAAACCGGATGGAAAACCGGTACTTGAAGTCCTTCAGATGCTCGTCAATTCCGTCCTCCATGGTGGCACTGAAGAGGCGTGGAGTAGAAGTGCGGTGGTCTTGTTCTTCAAGAAAGGCGACAACGCTCTCTTGAAGATCTACAGACCGATTTCCTTTCTGAGCCGCGTCTACGTGCTGTTTTCGAGTCATTACGAATCGTCTCGCATGCAGATCATTGAATACTTTTGAGAATCAACAGCAATGTTTAGATTTACTTACCATCTACATAAATATATTTATTAATGAACTGGCCCTCTTTTTTTGTTATTTTGTAGTTTAGGAAATTTATCTTTTTAAATTTGTATATCAATAGTGTCTCAATAGTGTCACCCAATGGATAGGTCTTAAGTTGAACATGGACAAAACATAGATCATGTATAACGTCCATGTCACACCTATGCCGGTAGTTGTTGGGAGCACTAAACTCAAAGTTGTTGAAGAGTATGTTTACCTGGGACAAATAGTCCGACTAGGTAAGTCCAACTTCAACCGAGAGGTCAATCAACGGCTTCAACTCGGTTGGGCAGCGTTAGGGAAATTACGGCACATCTTCTCGTCAGGTACACCTCAAAACTTGAAAACGAGACTGTACAACCAGTGCGTGTTGCCAGTGATGACCTATGGAACTGAGACGTGGTCCTTCACTGCTGGCCGGTTGAGGAAGCTAAAGGTCGCTCAGCAAGCTATGGAGAGGATAGCCCTCGGAGTTTCTCTGCGTGATAAACTTAGAAATGAGGATATCCGCAGTAGAACCAGAGTGACCGACATAGCCCAACGGATTAGTAAGCTGAAGTGGCAATGGGCTGGCCGTATAGCTCGAAGAACCGACAACCGATGGGGAAAAAAGGTTCTCGAGTGGCAGCCTCGTACCGATAGGCGACGTGTGGGGACCCGTAGTCGATGGATGCAGGTGGCTCAGGACCGTGCTTTGTGGCATTCCTTGGGGGAGGCCTATGTTCAGCAGTAGACTTGTGAAGGGCTGTAATGATGATGTCCTTCCGACTTTTTACTACAAGTACAGTTGAACAATAAACACTTTAATGTCGATGTCATAGTTAGCCCGACTACCTTTAGTTTGTTAATATTAATTTTTGGTTCGATTTACGCCGAAACGTCGGGAATTAAGATAGTAAATTAAACGCGATAAAATCCGTAAAAAATATTTTTATTTAATGTGTAGTGTTAGCGTAAATATAAGAAATCATTACTATAATTATTATTATTTTTATAACTAAGACACTTAGAATAAAACAATAATAATAAAATAAATAATACAGGATACAGGATCAGGTTATTAAGACCAACAATTATCGGAGATACATCCTAAAGGATGGCGCCGTCGACATCTGTCGAGCTTGTCGCCATCCCGGTGAGTCACTTAGGCATGTCATCTCCGGTTGTTCGGCGCTTTCTAACTCTGAGTATTTGCACAGACACAACCTAGTAGCCAGGATTCTACACCAGGAGCTCGCTCTGAAATACGGTCTCGTGGATCGGAAACTGCCATATTATAAGTACTTGCCGGAAGCCGTGCTCGAAAATGACCGCGCCAGGCTCTACTGGGACCGGGCCATCATCACAGACAGGACTATTCTTGCGAATAAGCCTGATATTGTGCTGATGGACCGGGCACAGTCAAGGATATTTTTGGTCGACATTACCATTCCCTATGACGAGAACCTCGTGAAAGCCGAAACAGATAAGCTGACAAAATATCTGGACCTGGCTCACGAGGTGACCGACATGTGGGGTGGTCTGCCGGCCGAAATTATTCCTGTGGTCGTATCTGCGAACGGGTTAATCCCAGTTAGCCTCTCGGGTCATCTGAGGCGACTGGGACTCCGTGACGGACCGCTCCAAGCTCAAATGCAGAAGGCGGTGCTCCTCGATACCGCCCGCATCGTCCGCCGGTTTCTTTCCCTTTCCCCCTAACCCTCGGCCGTTTGGTCTCCCCTGCCGAGGGCTTCCATCTGGTTGGGTTTTTATATATTTATGTATTTTTTATGTATTTATTTTATTTTATTCATATTTATGTATGTTTACCATTTTCATTTACAATTATATATTTATACTGCCCAACCAGATGAGAAAACTTTATAGATACCCCAAAATAAATAAATAGAGCTGAGTTCACTAAGCTGACTGCTAACCTCTCTGGCACTTGAAGAAAAAGAAGAAGAACCACAAACGTTTTTTATAGTATAGGGTTACAAACGAGCTAACATCTGCATTTTGATTCTTTATTGAGGATAGATTAAAACGAGTTAATCTATCCTCAATAAAGAATCAAAATGCAGATGCGTTGTCACCCGAGAGGACTACGATGGAATAACTCTTTTCCAGTAAAAAGGGTCTCCGGTTCTCCACACTCACCATACGTATAAAAGCAATTTTACGCTGGTATTCTGTGCGAGCGCGGTCTATCTCCGGTCGAGCCGACCCATTATGCTACTACTATACTACTAATATAGCTGCAGCATGGCTCTACCACTGTAGAGTGTAATTTGATATCCTGGATAAATTCGTCTCCTTTAATGTACATTTGCAATCGTGTTCTAATTTTCTTTGCTACAACAGTTGTGTAAGTGAAAAAGTGAGCGATTTTATTGGAAGCATTCCAAAAACGTTACTAAATTTGGATGTTTGTCTTTAACTTCATTTTAAATTATGTCAACATTCCAATGAATTTCTATTTCCGTGAGGCACTACTTTTATTTCGGCGTTGACCTTTTAAACAAGAAGTATGTATATATTTTTATAGGTATTCTAATGTCAACTAATTATCTTGGGCCAGTTTTTATCATGATTCTATATATAAATGTACATAGCTGAGGGAGAAAATCGGAACAAAAATAATATACGAAATCCGATTATTATTAAAAATGATGGCTTTCTGAACCTCCACAACTAGAAAATAGATCTTCTTGCCCAGTGGGAGA